GATGCACTCCTGGCCACCACTGAAACCTGGGCATCAAGGATCCGAATGGAATCTAGGAGCATCCCCAAGCTGTGCACCTATGTTTTCAGAGGGAGTGTAACTCCCTCCAGCACGGGCTGCATCCTTTTTTCCCGATCTGCTTTTCAACTGACCAGGAGCACATCTATCCTGTCTGGATTAAGTTTCAGTTTATTCACCCTCATCCAGTCCATTACTGACATCAGACACTGAACTAGATCTGAAACATCTTCCTTAGATTTAGATGGGAAGGAGAGATAAGAGTTGGGAGCCATCTGCATACTGGGGACACCGAAAACTCCAGACAATTTTCATAGCGGTTTCATGTAGATATTAAACAACATAGGAGACATAACAGAATTCTGGAGGGGCCCCCAGGCCAGCAGCCAGGGTGTCGAACAGGAATCCCTCAGTACCATCCTCTGAATTTTCTCCTCCAGGAAGGACTGGAACCGCCATAAAACAGTGCTTTCAAGTTCCATTTCAAGTCAGGAGAATACCACAGTTGATGGTATTGAAAACTGCTGAGATTTCTAGCAGAACCAACAGGGACACACTCCTCTGTCCAGTTCTTGGCTTATGTCATCCACCAAGGTAGGATATTGCAGCTCTCTAGATCTACACTAGATTCAATAAAGAGACTCCAGAATTAAATACAGGAAAACGGTGTGGATTTTCACAATGCAAATCAAATATGTCTGATTGCCATTCTGTCTTGGTAATATCCGGGTACACTTGGGTTCTCTATCACACTTTTCATTTTGCTTCAGTAATGTCATTAAATAGATCTTTTCACTTTTTCAAGTCCTTGAGAACAGATTGGTAAGCTTTCTCCTTGGGGTGATTTGTAAATTGCTTTGCAGAAGGCTTAAGCTCATGATGAATATGGCTAGGAAAAGTTTCATCAGAGTTACACTCGGGTGTCATTTTTCATCAGGTTGTTTCAGCCACTCACAGAAATGCAATATGTCAAACTGTATTCCTGCCTGGCTTCTATGAAACATTAATGGATTTTAAAAATTGACGCCTTTGCAGGCATTGGCATTTGTTGAGTTCAACTGGATGACATGTTCTCCAAACTCATTCATAAAAGTTCTGTTTAAAAATCAGCTAAGAAAATCCAGGTTTGACAGTCCTAGCAAGTACTGTTTTGACTGCTTCTTTTTAAAGGACTGGATCCTAGGACTATACCATTTCTGTGGCTGTTGAGCATACTTTGTATGTAGACAAATCCATATAGTTATTTGGAAAAGGCTGGTAAAATGAGCAATGAGATGTGGGCAAGAATTCTTTCCTAGACTAGGAACTGAAAAAAGAACAGAAAGACTTAATTTCCTTCCCCATTCCCATGACTGGCCAAGGAAATCTAACATCCTCAGATTATCCATATATCTAACTCACAAGAAGTAGGGAATTAATTAAGATTGCTCTTGCTGGAAGATTGGCCTATACAGCTGATCTGGTTAAATGGGATAAGATGTAAAGCTGAGGGATAATACTGGTCTTTATGAATAAGGGCAGGTGATTTCATTTCCGCCTTATTCGTCTCCAGCCAAAATGTGTCAATATGCATAACTTCAATGTCAGTATTCTGGTATAGTAATATCATATTTGTAGTTTAATTTGAACAGGAAGCTACCGACTTAACGTGTGACATGTAAATGCTTGTTTCACATGGAAATAAAGCCTAAACAGCTGATGGTTTAATCTCTCCATGTAGCCACTCCTCACTGTAATCAGAATATTAGTTTGGAGGTGAGAACAAAAAGCAAAAGAGATAAAGCAGGGGCAGACAAATTGTGTATGCTAAAGAGAGAGCAGAAAATCCCTATTTTATTTTTGACTTCCAAGGGTCTTTCTTACTTGAAAAGTTTTACTTATGTAGGAGTCATGATTACTTGCTGATTTAAGCCTCCTCTGCCCACATGTAATGGGCTTCACACGCTAACTTGGAAGTAAAATAAATAAAGGTTCCTCTTTTTACTACTTAGTTTAACTTTAATAAAGAAGATAAAGAAAGAAGAGTTGGAAGTCTTGTAAAGCAACAAGGGTGATGCAGTGAGTTAGGTGTCAGGAGCCACATCTGAAGTGCATGAGGTAGGATAGATGCTTGTACCAAATACTAAATTCTGAGGAACTGTATGAGCCTACCCAGCAGTTAAGATCTAGCCAGGGGGGCCTTTTAAAAGAGCCATCCCTCAAGGAGGTAAGAGGGATGGCTTGTAGACAAAAGGCCTTTTCGGCAGCTGCCCCCAGACTCTGGAATGCCCTCCTGACTGAGATTCGTCTGGCGCCGACACTGATGACATTTCGGCGCCAGATCAAAACCTTCCTGTTCCAGAAGGCTTTGAAATAATACCAACTGTGGGTTTTTAGAGTATCTAAAAATGGCAATTTTTAGAGTATCTAATTTAATTGTATTATTTTATCTTTTTATTGTATTTTAATTATTGTAAGCCACCCAGAGACCTTTGGGTAGAGTGGGCGGCATATAAATTATGCATGCGTGCGTGCGTGCGTGCGTACGTGCGTGCGTGCGTACGTACGTACATACATACACTTCCCACCTGAGAGCCCAGACTGCGCCATCTCTGTTTTCTTAATTCCTCCCCCCTCACACTTCTAATTGCTAATTCTTGTTAAAGAATTGTATTACTCCCCATATTTGTTAACTGTTCCTCATTAAATCATGTCAAGTGTGCTGCAGGGGGAAATTGAGGAGCACTGCAATTAATTTACTGGCCCATAGAAACACAGCAGAGCATTGACAGGTCACAGGGAAGCATTTGGGATTCAGTTGAAGGCTCATCCAGAAGCTTACCTTAACTTGAACAAAGGTCCAATAGCCAAGAATCTGGTTCCTCCCGAGTTCCATTTTCTCTCTCTCCACTGTTCATTTGTAAATACAGTGAAACTCAATAAATTATTGCTAATCAGTTTTTAGTAAGATTGGGAAATGGTCCCAATACGCCAGCTGCTCTCTGTAAGATGCAGAAGTCCCGAGCTTCTTATTAAGAAGGCTACAGCACTGTGTTTGGTTTTAGGTTTTGAGAATATCCATCCCTTGTGATAATCCACTATTTATATTTGCAGGACTTTCCATTTTGGTCTTATCATATGCCTCGTACTGACTTCCCCTGTTATAAACAGTGATTATAAATGTGAAGATATACTATTTCTACTCTCTTAGAGTTTGGGGGGGGGGCACTAGGAATGGAGTAAAGTAATAACCGATATAAAAGTAGTAATACAGTGGTGCCTCACTTAACGATGATAATCCGTTCCAGGAAAATCGCCATTAAGCGAAAACATAAAACGAAGTTAAAAACCCCATTGAAACGCATTGAAACCCGTTCAATGCGTTCCAATGGGGTAAAAACTCACTGTCCAGCGAAGATCCTCCATACGGCGGCCATTTTCGCTGCCTGTATAGCGAGGAATCCGTCCCTAAACACAGCGGGGAGCCATTTTAAGCACCCAGTGGCCATTTTGAAACCACCGATCAGCTGTTAAAAAACCATCGTTTTGTGAAGAATCGGTTCCCAAAGCAGGGAACCGATCATCGCAAAGCGAAAAAACCCTATTTAGACCATTGTTTTGGGATCGCAATTGTGATCGCAAAAAGATCATTGTACGGCGATTTCATCGTAATGCAGGGCAATCATTAAGCGAGGCACCACTGTATAGGAACATATAATGGTGTATGATTGGTGACATTGCAAGAAAAAGTTAAAACTTTAAACCTCTCTTATGTTGTCACTGTGATCTCTACAAACACTGAAAATGTGCTATCTTCAAAAAAAATGTGTAAACACAAACAAAAGGAGGTATTCGTGCATTTCCAATATGACTACAGGGCAAAGCAACGAGCTGCTGGTCAGCCATGTGATGGTGTAACACCACCTTTGTGTGAAATCTGGCATCCAGACATTAAAATTGGAAGATTGAGGGAGGAAAACACAAAAACTAAGCAAGAGGGAAAAGAGCTATGGTTCTTGTGCTTGAAATGTACCTTCTTTGCCTTCCCTGCCACAGAGTCATTGATTAAATCAGCATAGTCTCATAGTTGCAGCACTATGAATTTCAGATCCATTGAACTAGAAGAGTGGGGACGAAGAGAAAGCATGGAAAATGTAAAACAGCAGGTTTCCTGCATTGCCATTTTGAGGTGGAATCAAAGACACCTGTGCCCATCGTCATTTCAGACTACCTCACTAACGAATTTCCTGGCAACTGCTTTAAGAAGCCATTACACAGTTTCTTCTCTCAGCAGCTGAAAGAAAGGGAGAAAGTAAAAGATGCAACAGAGCACCCAGTTCTGCATAGAGACATTGGTATCTTTCTTTCCTGCCTGCACAATTCAGTTAGTGACTTGCTCTTGAAAATGTACATTTCCCTACTTAATTCTTACACTGGTCTTACACTGAAAACAATAGAATCTAAATGTGCTAACTCTGGCTGAGCATTTTGTCTCTGTGCTGCTATCCGTGCAGGTGCATTTCAGGATTTGCCCTGTCAGTGCTTCTATATGCTGATAACTATGATATTTGTTTTAAAAGCAGGCACTTAGACTGAGGGAGTTGAAACAATTACTTGGATTTAAAATTTCTGTTGCTCTGAGTTCATTTAATGTGCATTTTTAAACATCAGCAATTTTCTCTAGCTGCAGCATCTGTGTTTATGAAAGATAAATGTAAGAAGTGCCAACTCTACTGGTCTCTCATGAGTTGTCAGTGAAGAAATAAAATACTACTGACCCTACTCCTGGGGTGAACTAAAGTATGCAAAACTGCATCTGTACTACAGCCACTGCAGGTAATGGTCAATTAAATCACATGCTTTAAATTAATCTTAAAAGCTCACTACAGTGACCCAACCTCATAGCGTTCAGTCAGCTGTTTAGAGTTCTCCCTCAGTTCTGCATTCTGTGTTTCTAACCAGATGACTTATTCATGGTTTGCTCTGATATCCTTATTTTATAGATCCAACACGATTCATGGTGGCACCTACGGGCATGGATGTCACCGCTGGCGAAAGTATTCTTCTGCCTTGCCAGGTATCTCATGATCATCCACTAGACATTGTGTTTACTTGGTCATTTAATGGACACCTGATAGACTTTGAAAAAGATGGGGATCACTTTGAAAGAGTTGGAGGGGTAAGTATTAATATTAGTAATCTCACAGTATTATTTATCTTGAATACTGAGTATTAAATTCATGAACAGTATAAAAATATAGCAAAATATACTTTTTAGAAATAGCTGCATGTTGAAAGCTCATGTTATGTTTGGTTTGTTGGTTTGTTGTATATTCTGCTTTTGTCTCAGAATTAGGACTCAAAGTAGCTTGCAATACAGTTAAAAATGAAAATTATAATGCATTAAAATTTAAAAAAATATTAAAATAGAATTAAATGTATCAAGCAGTTAAAATTAAAACTTTAAAATCATTAACATTTGTTTTCCTTTAAAAATATAGAAACAGCATACTGCTAAAATCTTGTTATTTGTGGCTCTTAAATGCAAGAGACCTGCTTGAATAAAAAAGTGTGGAAGACAGGGAGAGGGGAAAAACCTAGCCTTTTCAGGCAAAGTATTCCAGAGTCTTGAGAGTAGCCACAGAGAAGGCCCTCTTTCAAGTCCATACCAAATTGGCCTCTGACAGTGTCTGGACAGGGAGAAGGGCCTCTGTAACAGATTACAAAGGTCAAGTGGGCTGGTATGAGAATATATGGCTCTTCAGATAACCTTATAGTTATCTGAGGGACCAAGCCTTATGGTGCTTTATAGGTCATATTCAGCATTTTGGTGACTGGAAATGAACTGATAAATATATTATGTGTTACATGTTACCTATATTATTAACTCCTAATTCTGTATGTAGAGCTGGCTAGATTAAGTTAAGCACTGGCTGTGGAGCCAGAGATTAGGAGATTGATATCCTACTGTCCTTCCTGGAAGAAAAGCCAGTCTGCATAACTTTGGGCAAACTGCACAGTCACAGGACACCCCCAGGAGAGAAGAATCTTGGAATAGAGTACACTTCTGGGTATTCTGTACCTGGAAAACCCTGGAAAAGTTTGTCATAGGTCAGAATTTACTTGATGGCATGTAATTATTAACGAATATTGGATATTTTGCCATTTAGTGTCTGAAATCTTAATAGTTCACAAAAAGTAACATTAGCCCCAAATGGTATTGCACCGTCTACATTGATTCAGTTAATTCAATTCCTTTTTTTTTTTACTTGATAATTCAAGAGCACAGAAGTGAAGTACTGTAGTGCTGAAGAAAACAGGCAGCAAGTTTGAGATGTGGCATGTACCCTGTTCAGTTTCTAGAGCCCCATGAGTTTATTTTAATTCATTGACCATGTGCGGAAAGTACCACTTTGAAGAAACTACTGCTCAAGCCTCCAGCATAGCCTGCTGGCATATGAGCGTAATAACTTGTTTCACTGATTTTTAAGACTTTTTAAAATCTAACTACAAGTAATAATGACAGGGGTTTACTTTGAACAAAACAAAATAGGTTTATTTTGGAACAGCAACAATACCACTGCTCCCCCTGCTGACTCCAGTTCATAAGTCCCCAGTCCCATCCATGTTTGGTCCTTGTCCTTCTGACCATTTGCTTCCTCCCTAACTGGTACTGTTATACAGACACTAACATATTAACTCTGAGGGAACACAGAATTATCACTGGGTAGAAGATGGAAAAATCCCGTCCTGATTTGAACTGGTTATTGAAACAAGTTAAGATCACATTACAGTATTCGCTTGATTTCAGGAACAACAGTCTGAGCTAACCAGAGTTCTCTCAGATTCAAATGTGACTAGGAACTTGGCTGAGTTCAAACTAGGAGACCAATGCTTCTGGTCTCCGTGTGGTCATGCTATAGGAAAAACAAGCCAAAGGCTGCAACCACTCTTCCACCGTGTAGACTATGGTTTGGCAACTGCATTGAAATAAAACCTCTTATTATTCCATCTTTTTGCCTTTTCTACATATGGTATAAGTTTGCTTGATGGTGAGGAGGTATCCAGGACTCAGCTAGAGCACAGCAAGCTTTCTGTAGTTTGAGGTTTCCCATGAATTTGTTGTGTGGCAAATACTTAAATATTTTTGAAAAAAATGTACATTTCAATAATACAAAATAATACACTCACTTGAGCAATGTTTAGGCAAAACAGAAACAAACAAACAAAAAACACCCACTGGTTTCAGCAGGAAGCTTGCATCTAATCTTTTGTTTTTCCCTCCTGTCTGCCTAAGCAGAACTTCCCAGAGGAAAAGGCAGAGGAGAATAAGGAAAAATACTATCTTCTAAGCCTCCGCAAACTCTGCCAATACCAGTGATTATTGTACAGCTCAGGCTTGGTTGATTGGTTGACTGACTGACTGACTGACTCGTTGATAGGCTGCCTTTTTCCCAATAAGGGGACCCAAGGTGGCTCATAATATTAAGAAGAATAGGAGGAAGAACATAATACATTAAACATTAAGAAGACAATTAAACTGTACTGCAAAGTATTTTATTGTCCACATTTTATTTCCTCTCACAGTGCCACTTTAAAATTGTCATCCATTTTCAAAATGAGGAGGCAACACCGAGATACTAATGTACAAAGCAGGTGTTACCAGAACCAGCCATCCCATGTCAGCATCCACAAATACAGGAAAGAAAATTGCAGCGGTAAAGAATAACTGGCGTCCCTGGTCTATCAGACAGGTGTAGGAAGACGAACAGTCCAAGATCTCCCTTGCAAGGGGCACAGCAGCAGCAGCTGTTGCTAGCAAACCCTTCTAATTATGCCACAACCCCACCCCCAGCCGTGTATAAATATTTGTCAATTAAAAGACTGCAACTGCAGTTTTAAGCTTAGCTTTTGAACTTGTAACCACCGTGCCTGGCAGATTGCAAGGAAACATTTTTGGCCATGTACAGCCATGCAGAACCATAATTAGTTCTCTACAATTGCAAACGAGTGTTTGGCACTTCGGAAAAGAAATTATCATTGTTCCATGCTAGGTGATGCAAAAATTTCCTCAGGGAGTGCTCTCCTCGTGGCCTTTGAGTACAGAAGACCGGGGGCAATCAAAATGCTGGCCGTGGCACAAGGCTATGGGAGGGACTGCAGCTGCCTCGTAATTTGGGTTGGTATTCACTCATTAAAGGGAAGTAAGCAGACTGCAGACATCCAAATACGAATAAATTGGATGTCTGGAGCACGGCAGAGTGAAGTTTTGTGGCAAACGGCTCGACTAACCTACAGTTCCTGTTTCTCTTCCAGGCAACCACACTTTTCAGGCGCTTATCTCCAGGGAGAGCTCGCATATTTTAAATAGGCCACTGCTTTGCCTTACAAACGTTTTTTTCATCAGCTGATGTAAAATAAATCCATTAGCCACAGTGTCCTTCATGTGATAATGATGTTTAGAGCTCATTAAAAAGTAATTGTAACCACTCTCCCCTATTTTATCAGCAGGATTCAGCTGGTGATTTGATGATCAGAAGCATCCAGCTGAATCATGCTGGAAAATACGTCTGCATGGTGCAAACAAGTGTGGACAAGCTATCGGCTGCTGCAGACCTGATTGTAAGAGGTATTTGAATTTTGTTGCTGTTGTTGTTGTTGTAAAAATGACTGCTCACACTCAAGGCTGCTGTGGATAATAACATAAAGCACAGCTTGAGAGAATTCACTATGGCTCTAACTAGCAACTGAAAAGGCACCACAGATTATTTTGTACAAGGGGGAGAAGTCATTTATCTAAGCTAAAATTGTAACAGCAAAGGCTAATTGTTTCTTTGGTTTTGTCAGCAATGGAGATATTGCTGACAGTGTTAATTTGCTGAATGGCGAGGTGTGGAGAAGTAACTTTTCTTTGGAAACAGCATGTTTTGCTCTAAAATCCTGAGGATTTGTGCACATACTGGCTGGTTGTAACCACTTCTGGAAAGTGGAATATGCACATTGCACGTAAAGACAAAAACAATAATGCTGTTTGAAATATTGGTGTGTTCAATAGTAGTTGTACAAGTGCTTTACACCCTCAGTCAGGGTGTCCATCATGTAACCAATCCCATGGGTACTCCAACTGGTTACAGAATAAATGCACACCAAATGCTGCAAACCACTTGCGTAATCGCCATTGAACATACAGCTATTTGAACAACGTTCTGGACAAAATATATTTAAAAGTGCCTGGTGAGTATACTGTTGCCATAAAGTTCGAACAACGGCTCTTAGGAAATACCGTATTTTTCGCACCATAAGACGCACTTTTTTCTCACAAAACAGGGGGGTGGAAAGTCTGTGCGTCTTATGGAGCGAAGAAACCAGATTATATTTTCCTGTTTTCTTCTCCTAAAAAATTGGTGCGTCTTATGGAAAGGTGCGTCTTATGGAGCGAAAAATACGGTATATGATCCCAAACTGGTGACTTTGGTGTTGTATATTGACAAATGCAGCTAAACTGTTGCCTTGAAGCAGTCCAAGAATCCAAGCTCACAGAAGATTCCAAGCTCACTGCTGTGGCTGTTAAGAGTCACACTGTAGTTGTGATTGAGACAGCAAGCCATGCGCCAGCTGAGTGGGGCTTTTTGGGTTGTGTTCCACAGATTAGGCTCCACAACTAAGAGCCTTGTGGCGCAGTGGTTAAAACGCTGTATTGCAGCTAAAACTGTGCTCACGACCTGGGGTTCAAATCCCAGGTAGCCGGCTCAAGGTTGACTCAGCCTTCCATCCTTCCGAGGTCAGTAAAATGAGTACCCAGCTTGCTGGGGGGGGGGCAATGTGTAGCCTGTATAATTAAAATTGTAAACCGCCCGGAGAGTGCTTGTAGCGCTATGGGGCAGTATATAAGTAAAAAAAAAAAACAACTGGAAAAGCAGTGCTCATCCCCACCCATTTCAAATAATAGCGGGAGAGATAACAAAAGCTTTTGTTGTTAATTGGAATGGACAGGAATGCTCATACAGACAGCATCCATTCTTATGTTCTGCATGCGGTATTAAAGAGTTGGCGATCGAGTTGCCAAGTCTCAGGATGTCAGATGAAGTCTCAGGGGATGGCTGTGTTTCCTCAGATCTTCCTGTGAGGAGACAAATGTCGACAAATGTCAGAGTCAGCTGTTCTAGAGGAGGAAGTTTGATTTTAGTTTGCTTCCAAGCCCAGGAATTCATATCAACTCCTTCCTAGCTGGCAATCATGGATGGATTGAGGTCACCAGGCTATAGCGGCAAGCGCTTTTTTTAGCTGCAATGCAAGAGAGAGACTTCTGTTATCATATCCTACTTTTAAATCTTTGGGTTCTCTTTTTTCCCTTTCATTGGAAAAATGTAGCGCTATACACTATTAAAGGTAGACTCTGTGTGTGTGTGTGTTGTGTGTTGTGTGTTGCGTGTTGTGTGTGTGTTTAAGAGAGAGAAGGGGTGTTTAGGGTTCACTTTTAGACAGTAAGGTCTGTTTTATTTTCTTAGTTACACTATTAAAGGTAGACTCTCTCTCTCTCTACTTGTGTTGCGTGTTGTGTGTGTGTTTAAGAGAGAGAAGGGGTGTTTAGGGTTCACTTTTAGACAGTAAGGTCTGTTTTATTTCTACCACCCCCATTGCTTTTGTTTTTTTTTATTTTCTTGTTTGCTACCAGCTGTTGCTATCAAATTTCATCATGGCTGCCTCATCATTCTCTTTTTCTAAGGTTGTCTGGGCTGGATTTGAACAAACAAATCCTGCCAGAAATCATTCTAGCAGTGTTGTATGACCTCCTAGGTTGCAGCGTTTGCATTTCCAAGCTCCCAGGCATGGCTCCTCCCCCACCACCCCCAAGATATAGACACACACAAAAATTAGCACAAGCCTAGGCAACAATCATGCAGAGTGTCACCAAGGACAAGGGGCACTCTGAGCACCAATCTGTGTGCCATTATTTAGGCATGGATCAGGTCAGAGAAAGCAGCACCGACTGTAGCTGTAGGGTGGGTTTGCTGCTTGTCCAGTCATTACAAAATGTACCTGCTATCACTGGGTTGATGTATTTCCTGGTTAGCTGGATTTACCCAGATTGCTTTCAGTTCTTCAGATTTCCACAATCAGCTGTTCCTGAAACTTCTTTTCAACCTTAGCTTTATGACGTTACAACAACCCGCCATGTCACATTTTGGCCCGGACGTCTCAGAGAACAGGATGCTGCTGTTCTCTGACAATCCCATTTGACATAGGTCCATGCCTTCACCACTCAGCAAGTCTAAATTTTGTCCTAGGGAGGCTGCCTGGAAATCCCATACCTGTTTCAAATCATCGGATAAAGCAATGGTACAGCTATACCAAATAATAACAGACAAATCCAGTCCTTTTTCCTTTGGGAAGCAAGGGCAGTTCATGCTACCCCGGCTATTCTTTTATGCACACTGAAATTAACATCAGATTTAATTTGTTGCATTGCACTTTCCACCTAATACATTATAATGTAGGATGTGAATATGTTGTGGCCCTTACTTAACGTTTTGAGGTGCAGAAGCAAAGTGATCCTGCTTTGACTGGGAGACAGGAAGAGGAAGGACAACAGGGAATGTGATCGTTGTCTGATTAAGGAGACAGCGATCATGTTCCCTGCTGCTGCTCCCTCATGGGAGTAAGATGGATTGTCGCCGCGGCAAATGTACACTCCATTTAATGAGGGAGAGCTCCAATGAACAGCTTAAATACCAATAAATTAGGCTGCTAAATATTTAAAGTCTGTAATAGTAGAAGTACATAACTGAAAGTATATGCATCATTTTGTAGACAATACACTTAAATTTTCCTTGGAGTCTTTTAGGGAAAAATATATTGCAAGGAAGAAGCAAATGCAGTTAATGACTTTATTTCTGCAGTTGCATTTTTTTCACCAAACACTGTTTTCTTGGCACATTGCACCACCTACTGGATCAAACAACATTCAGGATTTCTCCTCACCTGATGATGGACGATGCACAGGGCTGCTCAGTCAAACACTATCTGACTTAGAACTTGCCTCAAGTAAACAAACATATTGATCAATGTAACTGAAATGCCCTTTGCGGGATCAAGCTGCACAAGTTTTGAGCAGACCTGTTTCAATGCACAGTCATATTTAACTGAAATTTGAAATACTAAAAGCAATGAGAGCTCTTATGCATTAAATACTAAAGGTATAATATCAGAATAATGCGAGAATAATCTTAGAACTGCAGAGCTGGAAGGGACTCCACGGATCATTGAGTCCAGCCCCTGTCAAAGAGTCACAGTATGGAATTGAACTCCCAAACTCTGGCTCAAAGACCTAAACTACTGAGCTAAGCTTTCTCAATTTGTTAAGTTCCTAACAAAAGCAACTCACAAGTAAGTACGTTAGCTTGCCAGCATCCTTTCCAACATCTCGCAATTGGCGTCTGTGGCCAGGAGCAACTTTAATGAGTTTGGGCCGATTCGACAACTGTACCTTGAGCCCTAGAAAGCACTGTTTTCCACAGTCATTAATGCTATAGTGATCTGCTAACATAAATTGCTCTAAAGGAGTTTACTTTGAGGATGGCTCAGAAGTTTTAACTGATACAGAACGAAGTTACCTGGTTCATTCTGGGAGAAAAGCAATTAGAAAACACACCATTGATTCTGTACCAATTCCAATGTTACCAGTATCCTTCACTGGCTAGTTCCAAGTGTTGATAACTTTTAGTCCTCAGGCACAGGTTAAGAATGTCTGGGAATACTTTTTGATTCATTAGAATTCCAAGATACCATAGATTAGTTATTAGGGGTAGCTGTGTGGTTAGGATTAGGATTAAGGTTAACTATGAACAAAGCAAAAAGAAAAAAAACATGCATTGTTTCTCCCAGTAGCACTGTTGGGGAGGGCCATGTGCCACAGTGACCAAACAAACAAACAAAACAGTGGGAGAATTTTTATCCAAGGCAATTGCATCTGTTAAAAAATAATTATACTTGTAAGCAGCTGAAACTTGGGGACATTGTTCACAACTGCTCAGGTGGAAATACTGTAGAATGCCTACCTTGAAGCTCTAGTTCCATGTGAGTTCTGCAACAAGACGTAACTCTGGGGGGAGGGGGGACTAATATGTCCCATCCTGGCATAAAGCTTTAAAGAGGCTAGACCAAGTTATACAAAGAGCCCCTGCACCATATGGGCCTTTTCAGCCATAGGACCTCCCACCCTTCCCCAGGTAGTTCACTTAGCCCCTTTGTGTAGTTTGGAATGAGTTTTAAAGACCTGGTTGCTGAAAACAGTATTTACATGATTAATTTGATGTTGGCTTATTAATATATCATTTTTAAATGATATATTAAAACTGTTGGCAACTTTAATTTTCCCTGCTATTATAAGTGGTCTCTGTTTAATGCCAGATTAAGTTTTAATGGGAACCCTATCATTAAAAAAATTGCGGTCTTAATACATTGGGTGCTAATGGGCTGGTTTAGCCCCAAGTCATAGCCATAACTATGACTCCATGCTTGAGAACGGTGAGTGGGTGAAACTAGGATGGGGAGAGTAAAATGAGTGGGGTTAAGATAGAGAAGACAATCAATATTGACAATGAGATGTTTAGGGACAATTCCAGATGT